CCCCCCCCCCCCCAGACATGATAGACTTCCTAATTTTTTGGAGTAACTGCACAGGTAGTATATATACTTATGTTTTGAAATAAGGCTTCACTTCGTTTTGGCAGGTTGTCCAGAGGATGGTTACCGAGATACTGACAGTTCCTGGAGTGTCCAGAGTCCTGTATGACCTGACGTCAAAGCCCCCTGGTACGACCGAATGGGAGTGATGGTGTGCATCAAGCTTGATAGCATTTTATACAAGCACTTTATGCTAAGCCGTGCGTGACACTCGTGGGAGACGTGAGTGCCGTGCGTCTGTTGTGATACGTGCAAGTATGCGTGCATTGTTCATTCTGGATGAGACGAGTCAGGCCACTGAAGTCCTGTGTTTCTCACCATGCCTGGCTTAGTGGTTTGGGTTATCTGCGACAAATTATGCCGTTTAAGTGAAGAGGCACAATTGGATGAATCATACTACTTTTTTAACCAAAATTATTGTTTGGGGGGCAGAGGGAAAGGAGGGATATTTTAATGTATTTTTTCACTACATCATTCCTACCAGATGACACTAGTTGTTAGGGTGCGGTGCAGTGTATACATGTATTCTGGTATTTATTTGACATCTGAACATAGGTCTGGTCACGCCCATGCCGCTGTCTCACCACAAGGTATAAGCACAGTGTTTCCAGGCATACAGGTTATGCCAGTCACATGAGAGCCCACACAGCATGCTATATGTACTTCAGACAAATCCAGTAAGAACACAGTTTAAGTGCTTATCATTTGTGGTGCTATATGATGCCCCCTTCCCCCCCAACATTTCATATTGCTCTGCAAACCATAGAGCATTATATAGCATGTCACTCTTAAGCCACAATGAATTCTTTCTCTTGTTTGTCTCATTTGATATGCTGCATCTCAAGTCATTACTGTTCTATTTTAGCCCATCTAGTAACGACTGTACACAAAATTTCAGCTGCCATTGCTCTGTGCAGGGGTGCAAACAAATTGCTCAGAATTTTGGAATGTACAGTTCATCATATTTCCTTGTCATTATTACTGTTGTCCTATACAGGATGAATGTTTACTGGCTTTGAATTTATATTATGAATTCCCACACAACCACCATTGGGTTCTTACAAAGGCTGTTTTCAGTCAGACTAACAATTGGCTTTTAGTTGGTTAATGCACTGAATATATTGCAATAGCATTATATTTCTATATCAAGTGATAGAAAGAAGACCAGCACAAGATATTTTAATAGGTTTTGTGGGACTGCATAACAAAACATTTGAATGAATTGAACATTCAGGCTGTATAGTAAAATATTTTCTTCTGATTTTCAAAATTTGGTTTTACACAGGTGATATATTTTTCTGGGTTCTTGTGCCAGAGCTTCAAAACCCAAACCAAAGAATGCTTCAGTTGGTTTACAGAGAAACATGGACAGTTCTGCCTTCAACCCTCCCATCTGTGTTGTCAGTTTTTAAATTATGAATTTTTATTGTCATGTGCATTTCTGGATTGACCTTTGACATGATTGTACATTATGTGTGACTTGTGATATAACTGTTGGCTTGAAAGTTGCACTTGATGATTGTTAATGAGTTTGTTGAAGTGGATTGTTCAGGAGGAGGGGAGGAACATGTCTGTTACCAGTCGCTTGATGTGACACAGCCAAATTGTTCTGACCCTTGGCCTCTGTAAGTAGCGCCACCTTCATAGAAACAGAGGCTGTGTTGAGCGGGTATGGTTTTGATGACAGCGGTGTGAACGAGGCCCATGATTCTGAAAGTGCACCGTTTATTTCAATAAATATTGAATCATCTTGAATTGTTTATATAAGAGATGTTTGTACAGTATCCTGTTTTGCCTGGTAAGTACAACAAAACTGTCACAATGTGCACTGTTTTGTGGGTTTCCTCACTCTTAGCACCTCTTTCTTGAGACAGGTTGTTTCATGTGACAGACTCTTTCTTTCACGCTTCCTGTTCTGTTATACACTCTCCCCACCTTATCTTCCTTTACGGTTCTCAATGCCTTCTCAACTTTTGATCATACTGTAATTTATTTTCAGTTCCTTTTGGTAATCTTTCATGTCCAACACTTATTACCCTACACAAGGTGGTCAAACATGCAAGATATGACTTTTTCATGAATGAAGTATATTTTCACAGGGATTGATTGACATTTGCTTGGTGGTGCCAGCAGTTCAAGTGAAACTTCTAATATTTGGTCAAACGTACCAATAAGTTCGTGTCCGTCAGAGAAGAATCTGCATTTCATAACAGTGGAAATTACCTAAACATACCAATAAGTTCGTGTCCGTGAGAGAAGAATCTGCATTTCATAACAGTGAAAGGTGCCCATGTTTTTATTCCAAAAATATGATGGAAGTGAGATTTGAAGATAGCTGTGTATTGGGTTGTTGCGCCATGTAGTATGGTAGATATTTACCAGTGTTTCAGAGGTGCATGCTCCCTCCATCAGGCGGTTGATCAACTGTCACCCTGATAGAGTCAGCAAGCGTATCTGAAATGTTGATAAACATCTACCAAACTACATGGTGTAAATACCCAGAAGACAGCCATCTTGATAATGGAAGTCTATAATAAAAATTTTTAAGTTTCAAAACTTCAGCTTAGACTTAGGATTTTACACACTGTGATTTAGCTATTTGTAGACAATTTATTTATTGATAGGTAATGTACTGTTGGTTTGCATATGCTTAGCTTTAATTTTGATGTTTGCAATGGTTATTATGTGCAGACAAATGTATAACTTTATTTATTTATAGTGATCAAGTACATTCAAACTCAGTTATTGGATGTTCTTTGAGACCAAACTACTTGAACAGAAGTCTGCTTTGATTGATATAGATAGTTCTTGAGTGTTGAGGTTCCCACAGCAGTGAAGACCGTGAAGTTATTCTTCTGGGTTGTGGCACTTTGGATTCGTAGGTAGATAATGACATTTCAGTGAAACATGTCTCCATCTTCAGGGCTGAAGTAGGGGTGTTGGAAAGTGAACAGTTTGTATAGAGTCAGAAGGGCTAGACTAAATGGAAATTGGCCAGTTAAAGCTGAGGAGTAAGGAAGAGATGGTCGGGCCAGTAGGGAGTCTCCATGCAGGAGATAGAGAGGGGACTGGGTCAGAAGTGAGAGAAAGAATCGTCTATTTGTGGGACCAGTCTGAGGGTTGATGCAAGGTGAAATACAGAGCTAAACCTGCAGGATAAAGTTCAAGAATCCAAGGATGGGTGATGCAGTACCATATGTGGGAGAAAGGCTAGTGAGGGGAATGAAGGAGGATGGCTGGGAGACAATAAATGTTTGGATGTAGGCTATAAAAGGGTGGGCAGCAAGCCTCAGGGGATCAACTCTCAAGGAAAATCTTTGAGGTCACAAATGAGAGGTGTTCATGACCTGCTTAGGGTGAGCATGGTGTTCATGTTGTAGAGATGGAGCTTGATCTCTGATGATCTGGTCCATGTGTATGGATTTTTTGGTCAGAACACTGGTATTCTGCAACTAGATGCCATGACCCAACTTTATGCTGTGTCCAGCCACAAGCAGACTTTATCAGGATGGAAGAATCTGCCATTGATGGTGATTGACCCTTGCCTCAGTGGAACGTCCAATTTGACCAGTGTACGCCTTCCCACACTCGCAGGGAATGCTGTGTACACTTGATGCTTTATCGCTAATAGACTTGAAGCAAACTGCAGGAAGTAAGAAATCCCATTTACATCACACATAGGATTTTCAGTGTGCAGTGGTTACTGGAGATGAAAGTACATTTATCAACAGGCTGATTTAAATTGTGTTGCTTATTACTGTCTGCAAAGGCATCTAATTCGTAAGAACTTCAGAAGAGTAAATGTTTAGTGAAGCATGAAATAACACTTTTTTATTAGAACTGACAGATTGGGCCTTATAAATCAGAACTGGAAGATGAGAAGGGAGGTGATGTTTGAGCTCAGGTGTTCATATGTTTGTACTCTTTTATACTAGAGCAGTGCCATTGTTACTTGACATTAAAGAGAGATAGACCTGCAGTGATTCAGTAACTGTCATAGCTTGGGTAGCTGCTCACCCAAGACTTCTGTTGCAAATCGTGTATCAAAGGTGCAAGATAGCTTGGCTTATGAAAGATGGTCTCATGTAAAGAGCAAACAAAACCCGATGCTTCCCGTGGACTTCAATCTACTGAGATGTCTCAGTTACTATGGTGGTTAGGGCCTTCATGGTTGACTAACCCTGTTCTGCCTAAGTCTAAGACAAGTACCATGGAAAATAAAGATGCAGATGAAGACAACACAGACAGCAGTAAAATGTATGCACAATTCGATACATTCCGATCACATTCAGATATGTTCATCTTACCCAACACTGCAAAGAGTCACGGTGTTGTGCCTTCGATTCATTTACAATTGCGGATAAGCATGCCAAGAAAGGGATCTTGATAGCCTCTCTTCAGCACAGCTTAATAAAGCATTTAAATCCTTAATCAAACAAGTGCAACATAAAGAATTTTCCATGGAATTGAGTTGCCTGGAACAAGTAAAGTCGCTTTCTTCAAAGAACCATTTGTTATGTCTGAATCCATTTATTCATGAGTCATCACTTTGAGTCAGTGGAAGACATGCTTCAACACCAATGGAACATAAACATGTTATAATGTTGCTAAGAAATCATTGGGTAACAGGCTGATCATAATGCAAGGGATATATCTCGGTTTTCGTCTGTTTCTGCACTAAAGCAGTGGCAAGTGACCTGTTAATAGAAACCATTTTTGGGGCACTGAAACACTTCATTTCAAGACCAGGCAAGCTCATATTTATAGTGACTGTGATAACCTCATTCATGATTTTACATACTGAAGGTCTTGAAGTGCAAAATCAGTACCTTCTAGGTTTTCTTTCAACACGTGATTTCAGAGAAGAGGTCATTACCGTTGATGGTAAGCCTTCATCAATGAAACTTCCACATATGAAAGTTTCTTCCCAATTATTTTTTCAGCTCCTGAGCTACGCCTTCACCATTTATCTCTGCCACTGCTAGTCATGGTTGTTGTGCAGTTAAACAACACTTAAGTATTGCATATTGTTTAAATAACAGTTCACTCATAATGGTGTATAAAATGAGCCTAATCACCCATTTGCAATATTTGTTGAAACTTCACCATTGCAAAGTTCCAATTTTCCATCAAACATTTGCAAATTCACAATGGCAGTGTACCCCTCCCTTGAAGCCTTAGAATAGATGAGTTTCTCAGCCTGGCCTCTCGTTCCCTTTTAATTCCGATACTATGGTGAAATTCGGTTGGGTCAGCCAGTCATTGTAATTAGTCGGTGGACTACTTACCTTCCAGAATGTTCTTGGCACAGTCCAGTTTGAATGTGTACAAGTCAGAAGTGGGTCTTACATTCGAATAATTCGTGCCAGAGCCCTGAACACTCCAAGTGTTCGGTTGGTCCTGCGCTGCGGCGTCATAGACTCGCCTGTCCCAATACTCCAGCATGCCGATGACTCTTGGAATTTGACCTCGTGAGTCCTCGCAAGATGATGGGCCAGACCTGTTATACTGTACAACACGTATCACCACTAACAGGTTGCAAATAGTTGCTGTGCTTTGTTTCAAAACCTACTGTCTTGAATCAAGCTTCATTTTGGGTAGAATGTTGTAACAAGAAAATGTAAAGCCCCATTATTGCTGATTAAGTATTTGTACTGCATTGGATAGTACTTGTTGAGCTAATACTGTAATCATCATCTCTTCACATTATTAATATGATAGAAATCTGGGGTAACTGTTGGGACAGTAAACTGCTACAACTATATTAACATGTGTTTGAGTGATACTGAAAAATCAGGAATACTCAGCACTCATGGCCAGTCACAGCAAAACTTAACAATGACCCCAAATTACAAAAATTAGCTTGGTGCATATGTACATGAACAGTGGAGAAGCATCATAGCTGTTGCCATTACAGGTTAGTCTGTTATTGTTCTTTATAAATTATAAACAGGAAACTAATCACAAGCATTTGATGAAGCAGCTCAATCCTACAGTGCATTCTTTTCTTATTTCTGTTCCGTTTTGTGGTACATTTTTACTTCTTGGGCACTTCAGGTGTCAATGTGCAGGGTGAATGGTGGCCACCCCATTACTAAAAACAGTGCTGGTCTTCGGAATACTTATCCAGGAAATATCCAGGGTGGTGAAATCATACTTCTGAATGATAACTTAACCTCCAATGACATGGGAGCTTGCTTGTTATTAGAACTCTTCCACATTCTGACAGTCTTGTTAGAACAATAACAATCAAGACTAGTGACAGGGAATATAAATGACCATTTGCAAAATTATCTCCCGTAACTTTCAATATGAACAACCAACATGTCAAAGACTCTTGAAATATCGTATACATTTACCTCAAGAACTGAGCAGTGATGATGTAATTGCTGAACAGAGTTCAAGGGGAGTATCTTTGGTAACAAATTATGTAATCTGGCAGTTCTGATAATGTATTTTGGTCAGGTAGTATATTTTCTGCTGTTGCATTTGTCTTTTAATTCCATGCTTCATCCCTATATGTAGTAAACAGTACTACTAGAAAAAAGCAGCAGTCATTTGTGACCACTTCTCTGTGCTGTATGTTGTAGGAAGCAGGGAGTAAATGATCCTTTTAACTGGTTAAAAGTGGTTGGTATGAAAGGATTATTACCATGTCATACTATATGGCATAAAGGGCTTTAAGTTCATGTATTAATATTTGATTTTCAGTTCTTAACTACTGTGTTATTTACAAAGGGTTTTGTATTAATTTATTTTCACGCGTGTTCCTTTGAAGAATCAATGGGATTTGTGCTTCTAAATGCCTATTTAGATTGATTAGCCTGTTACTATCTGTAGGCTAATAAACTACGTTACAAAATTTTTCAACTGTAGTATGACTGTCTGAAATTACATGTATGTAGTAGAGATGTTCTCTGCAGTGGTGGTGAACAGTATTTCATTGCCAGAAGTTATCATCTATCTTTGTCATGAGTGGATAATACAAGGTGTAGTTAACCAATTTGACCATTCACATATTAATGTGGAATATTCAAATGAAATTTAATTTTATATGTGGAAGTATAACATATTCCAGATCATTCATTTAGTGACAACTCAGAAGAAGAGATCTCATAATGAACATTTTCTTTATTTGCTTTTGAATATGATTGTGCTTCATTATCCTCTGCATGTCCATTCCATCATTTACAAATAGAACCCTTGTCACACACCTCACCATTCCTTAGAGAAGTTAATCCCATGTAATCTGAAATCTGAACCAGGCACCTTAAATGTTGTACCCCAGTACATGGGGACAGGAAGATGCAATAAGTACCAGATATGTGACAGTAGCAAAGTGAGGAAGTAACATGTAGCACAAATTTTCAGTGGGTTCTCCATTTTACACTGACCTGTGTACAAGTTAAATTTCATAATTCACAAAATAAGTTTTGCAAAAACTTTCTAGAAAAAAGTACCCATGTTACAATTACTGTAATTTTCTGTTGAGAAGCAAAAATGCACCCCTTACATTGCAGTTTAAAACTGGCACCAACAGGAGGATTAAAGATGGCAGTTGTCTGCAGTTCTATAAAAACAAGCACGTCAAAAACAACTTCAAAATTCTGCTTTGGCTACCAATCATTATCATCACTCAAGTCATCGACATTGCTCTTTAGCTTGGAGAATAGCACATCTCTGACTTTGGGTCGAGGGTCTTCTTCCAGTTCTGTTGGAACAGCTCCAGCCTGCCCAAGAATCCATTCCAGTTCTGTAAGTAGAAATTTACAGCTGATAGGCTCTATTTTAAAGAAAGTAAGGATAATGTCATTTTAAACTAAACAAGTGTATTTACTTAACAGGTGCAAAAGAAGTGATTTGTTATCTGCCTGCATTTCCTCACACAATACTGCAAGTGGGGTAGAGTTGGACTACATTTATCCTGGGTTAGCAGTGGCTCCTTGATGTCCTCTGACAGTGATCCAATTCATTGCATCACAGTATTATTAGAAAGAGAAACCTCTTTAAGTGCTTCATGGTAGTTCTTACCATACCTAATTTCACACATTTTGATTGCTGCCTCAGGCTTCTTATTTTTAGCAATTAAATATGAGACTTGAAATGAGGCTTTAAATGATTTTGTCAAGTAGTCTGCTGTTTTCAGATTTCTAACAGTTTCATTCAAAGAATTCTAGTGACTAATTCATACAAGATGCATGTATTTCTGACATATGCCTGTGCACATTTCTTACATTTAAACTGTTATTTACAAGAACTTCACCACACACAAAACACATTGCAGACATCAGTCTTCATTCACAAGTTGTATCTGGTATTTTCTTATCCTTTCTGTTTATAGTATGAGAACCACAGCTTTTTTGTGTTGAAGTGCTTGCAATGATGTCACTGACAGGCTCACCACTTTTAGGGTGTTTTATAAACCATGAATTCATATTTGTACTCTTACTGATTTTAAACTGCACACCATTCTAATTTCTACCATTATGAATATCAGGAATATCTGAGACCACAAGGCCTTCTAATAATCTGAGCTTTAACAGATGTATTTAATATTTCTTTTATTCCTGGCTAAGAAAATCCACCAACAATTACTGTCATCGTTACCAATGCGCTTGGGTCAGTTTCACTGGAGAATACCACCTGCAATTATGCTCAGACTGCCTAATCTTTAGGCATCTCATGCTCATGTTAACAATTTTTATTTGCACAAATTTCTGTTTTTCAGGCACCACTATGGCTCACACCAGTTAGTTTGGGAACCACTGCTGTAGACACTCCTGACATTCTAAGTTCCAATCTCATGTCCATGTTCCATTCCTTAGGTCATTACAAATACACTGCCCAAGTCTGAGAGACTGTGTAACATTCCAAAACATCCTGATTTTTATGGCAGGGCAGTATTAACCACCAAGCTGGAGAACCACCCCTTGTCAGCTGTCTGAAACTGCTAATTCATTATATTTGCAGCTACCATCCACACCTGCAAGCCTTCTCTCTTAGAATTCACAACCTGAGAATGCACCATGCCTTAGTGAAATGGGACCCACTTAACATGGCCTAGATCAGTGGTCCACAACCGGTGTACCATCACAAGGTTTCTGTGCCATGAATTTTTGTAATAAATTGTTTTTTTGGATATTATAGTCAGAAGAAGGCAATATTTTATTGTGCGTAATCAGAATTTATATAATGCAGGTTCATCATCAGTAGTTTTATTCAGAATGTTATTTTGTCTTCATATGCCTGCGCACATACAGTGCAAGGATTGAAAATGAAAATACATATCTATGGTCATGTACAGTTTTGTACCCCATTTTTGAGAGGTAAAATATTGTGGTGTGCCATCATGTGTCTTTGACAAATTACAGTATGCCAGGAAAATTACTTCTAGGATTTGAGGTTCTTATAGTGGCATGTAGTCCAGCAGAAGTTTATTTACATTTCAGAGGTACTTGCTGCATCCATCATCAGTAAACTTCTACCACACTACACACTGTTACAACCCAGAAGACAGTTATCTTCAAAATTATTTTTACTCAAATTCAAAAATATAAAATGTCAAAGTGCTACATCTTCAGTTCTTGGAGATGGAAGTAGTAACTTTCGTGTTGAAAATTTTTAGTTCTTTCCTTTTTCCTCCTGGTTTTTTCCCCACAGTTCAAAATTTCCAGGAATTTTACATCTCTGACAAGGTGATGGTAGACTAGTGCTGACTTGAGACATCCTTACACACTCACTATAGAGGTTAACCCTCTACAAAGACCCAGGGAGTTTATGAGACAAGGGACTTACAGGAAGGTATTAATTATGGCTACCCATAAAACAACTCGCTACCACAGAGCTTCCATCTAAAGGTTGACTTTTCTCAGCAGGGAGCCAGCAGTTCTGGCTTATCACCTTGGTGACAGTATCAGCCAACCTGGGGAAGCTGAGAAGACAACCAACCATTGACTTGTTTTCTTTGGGACAAAATGGAACATGGTAAATTAAAAATAAAGTGGCAGAAGTCACATAAAGGAGCCCTTCAGTATAGGACCTCCATCTGAAAGATGATTCCTCTCAG